GCTATTTAGGTAGCTCAACGATTCATTCCTTAAATAATATTGCCACAGAAAAACTTTTCAGTTCAAATCACGCTCTGCCGCTCCGACAGGGAGCTCTGCTCTGAACACCTGAACGGCCCGTTCTAACAGCTGTTCACCAGCGGTCCAGTCTGTGCCACAGTGACTCCGGACGCACAGTTAATATTAACGAACGCACCCGTAGGTAATGTAGCTGCTGAAGCTAGACCATCATCTCGGAGCAGCAGAGCCTTATTATACATCCATGAGCAGAGCCGACAGGCTGGAAGACTCGAGCACACAGCTCGTACTTCATTATAATATATAAAAAAAGAACACCATGCGTGTCATGATGGCACATAACAGCTCACGGCCGCAGATTACTCCGGGTTTTATGGATTTAGAAAATGTTTTTATTGATTTAAAAAATAGTTGTATGTATTGATTTAAAAAATAGTTGTATGTATTGATTTAAATTGACATGCATCCGCTAAGAAAAATAGTCCGTTGTTACAGTTTTTTAAACAGTCTGAATGAGACGGCTCTCTCTGTGTATTTACACAACTAATGGCTCATCAACCACAGCTCTCTCNAAAAAAAGAACACCATGCGTGTCATGATGGCACATAACAGCTCACGGCCGCAGATTACTCCGGGTCCCAGACCCCCCCATACCCCAAAAATATTTTTATTGCAGATCTACATGAATCACACACAAACGACCTATTTTGGATTAAAAACGGCGAATTTCGCCGAAAGTTGACAAGTTTGCATCACTGTAAGTAGACTAGTCAAATCAGTAGGTATACGGATAATGACACATAGATGCTATTTTTATAAAACTCTTCTACATCAAAACAGGCTTTATAAAACTATGCCTGTGAGAACGTGGGAAAAAGACCCAAAAAGGAGAATGTGTCAGTGTCCATATACCGTCACCTTTTGACTGACATTAATTGAGAAGCACCAAAACTGAGAAGCACCAAAACACTCGGTGATAGACCCTTTACCCTTCTACGTCAAGTGCACACTGGGTAAAGAGCATCAAATAGATTCTCCCCCAACCCGTCCCCTTTCCTCTCTCTGAGGGGATCTTTACTATACCTGCAAACGAATCAAAGTGTCTCTCAAAGGTGGGTAGTTTGTCTACATAAGCATCATCTTCTGACAAGCCAAAGGACAAATAAAGAGACGAACAAACGGCAAAACAAAATACAGAGAGAAAATCAAACCAAGGAAAAAATTACAAAATGTAGAAAATCTGAAAAGCAGTGCACACAAACAATTAATTATGTAGAAAACAAACAAAAGGAATAAGCATATTAAACACAAAGAGAGGGAAATGTCTAAATGAAATGAAACTTAAACTGTAATACAGTCAGTTTAAAATCGTAACTGTTCTGGTGACGTTTACTCCATCAGCTGTGTGGTCTACCAACAAAACCACAATGGATACATTATATTTACATGTAGGGCCATAAAAGAGACTGCTGATAACTGAGCAGCATGTGTGTTACAGTCTGAATGTACTTAAGCTGTTTACTAATCCTTTGTCCGCCCAATCAGTTATGAAAAAAGCAACCTCCAAAAAGGGACTATATTCCTTTTCATATAACTGTTGCTGCCTCCAGATTGTTAATTGATTTAATCTTTTATGACTCAGCCGTGTTAATCTGCCCTAATTTACATCAACAACTCTGCACTGCAATGTCCTACAATCCCAAAATATAAAAAGGTAGATCAATGAGTGTGAAATTGTGTTAAACCATCGATTCCTATAATAAAGGTTTATCGAGACTTACAAACAAATTATTACACCACCCACTCACAATGCTCTTGTAATCTTATTTAAATAAATAGGATATTTTTTTTTACATTTATACCAATTTATCTCCAGATAGTAACAGCTGTCATGCATGGGTTATGCCCAGTATAACTGAATACATCATTCAGTGGATCATAAATGCCAGGAAGCTGTCACCATTTCCAGAAGGAAAAAAATAAATAAATACAAAACTACACTCATTCCACACAAACAAGGAAGGAAAGGGCCGTTGCATAAAATCAATAATGAACTTTTAATAAAAGACATGGAAGAGTTAAATTCAGCTATCACAGGCGTCAGAAGACCGCAGACAGTGACCGCTGAGGGAGCACACACCTGACACGGACACGGAGAGCTCTTTACTGACGGTGGGGGTGGTGGCGGCACTCATGGAGTTGGTGGAAGAGATGGAGGAGGTGCTCTCGGCCCGCGCCAATGGGGCGGCAGGAGGGGGGCTGGCAGAGTGGACCGGCGGGCTGAATGGACCACTCTGAAGGGAGAAAAAGACCGTAGGAGAAAGACAGATTAAAATACATTTATGTTAATCTTACCTGTACCAAAACACTACGTCAACTACAGTAGAAGTGAACATATGATCAACTGCAACACCTACTGCATCTCCTATAGTGGGTTTCCCCGGAGGAAGTTTGGGCCGTGAAGAGGGGCGAGGTGGAGGTGGTGGGGGGGTTGGGTTGACTGACGATGGAGTGGAAGGTCGCACCGGAGAAGAGGAACCTGCAAAACAGAGCAGAGACACATAGAGATGTATTTATAAACCCTACTGTTCTTTTTAGACGCTTCAACATGGCGGAACCAGTGGAGTACAAATGCTAAATAAATGCTGGGTTGACAGAACCTTTATTACACAGATTATTTGGAAATATTTCTTCATGCATACAATGTGATGAAAGAGCATAGCAAAGATACAGACTACGTTTTTATAATATTGTTTAAAAACAGTCAACCTCCTATTTTAGCTGCCTTGAGTATCTGTTCCCTCTCACAATTGACTTTTCCTAAAGCTGCAAACAGACAAAATACATTCTATATGGCTTTCTTTTGAAACACTGGCCAAACTATGATAAATAAATCCACTTGTTTTTAGATATCTTTCTCACACAATTACGTATAATTAAAATGTACCAGAGAAAACATTTTCTATCCTGCATAATGGACGGTTTAAATGTTCATAACATTAGTCAGCCACTCTAACAGAGTTACTGTATGTGAAAAAACTAAAAAAGAAATCCACCAGAGTGAAGTCCCATTAAATATGAGTAAGTCAGAATAACAACCTATGCTATGAGAACATCCAACCCCATCAAAACATAACCTCTTTTCCAGGGATAAATACAATTGCATATTTACTTTTCAGTTTAACAACAAAGCAATACTGCAATCAGCTGAAGGCAAACTCAAAGATGGTGTAATGCTGGTGATACAATCCCTTCTTAACACCAGTCAAAACATCTCTACCTGACTTTATTTGTAGGTACTGTATGGATGGTAATTGATAATAATTGTCACATGGCTGATGATGACAAAGAAATTCACCATGTGCTGTCATAATTCCAGTTTTATATGTGTCTCTCAAACAAAGTTGTTAATATCTAGGTGTGATTTACTTACACAAGCTCCAAATGAACTGTCCTCCATAAACATATATTCTAGTTTGAATCATTGACTGCTCACCGTTATTCGTGCCGCCAGCTCCAGATGTGGGACCCGGTGATGAAACCACTGCCCGATATGTGGGGGGAGGAGGTGGAGGAGGCGTACTCCGACTCCCCTGGTTAGCCTCGGTGGGCGAGGGGAGAGTTTGCCCTCCGTCCTCTTTGGGTTGGGTGACTTCTGTGTTCTCGGCCTGCTCCTCTTGAGACAGGACAAGCGACGGTGGGACAGAGCACGCTGCAGGCTGCTCAGTGGGAGGAGTCACGGCTGGAGGGGTGCTAGCTCTGGGAGCAGGGGCTGGTGGGACGCTGGGGGGCGAGTCCAGAGGAGGGGGAGAGGAAGCGGGAGGGGAGGCAATGTCTTTCGGCGGTGCTGGGGGTGGAGAGGTGGCGAGCGTGGGAGGAATCCTGTCTTCAGGTGTGGGAGGACCTGAGCGGACAGGAAGTGCAGCTGGCTCCTCTGTGGGAGGCGGGGAGATTGGGAGAGGGGGTACAGGTTCGTCTTTTGGGGGAGGGGATGCTGGAAGAGGTGGTGCGGGGTCTTCTGGAGGAAGTGGTGATGCCGGTAAAGGTGGGGCAGGAGATTCAGGTGCAGGCGGGGAGGCTGGTTGAGGAGGCGCTGGTTCTTCTGGGAGAGGCCGCTGCTCACTTGATTCTAAACTAAAGCTGACCCACGAGTCACTCGTTTCCTCGCCAGCAGACGAAGGCTGCTCTGGTCCAAAGATGTTGTCTAAGTCTGCTATAGAGGGCTTTCTGGTGGGGGCGTCGGCTTCTATGGACACTTCTGAAACACAGACAACCAGTGACCAATCAAAGGGTTTGTAGAGGACCTTGGCAAGTTTACACAAAAACATATAACATGACAGACAGGGAAAAGTCGAGCCAGACGTTTAAAGAGAAAGAAGCCACTGAGATGATGTCGAATGTTAGCTTTATCCTGCAGTGACAGTGTAGCCATGAAACTAACAAAGTGGTGTATTTTTTTTAATAGCAATTAGGTTTGTACTAGTTTATGTTTTGTAAGGGTAATGGTTTGTATAATCATAATCTTATTGTGTGATCGCAATGCGTTGGTTTGTATGGGTCACATGGATATGGGCGGCACTCATTCGGATTATAATCACCTGTTGTGTGAGGAGTGTGTGAAAGTGTCGCTGTATTTTTTGTTGAGCACAAACACAACGATTGTTTTGGTTATTAATACAATTTCATTGTTCCCGTTTTAATATGTTGATGATCTAATTTTTTTCATTGAATAAAAAATAAATGTCACCACATTTTGATCTCACCAATTCATTTTTGGATAGCGCGTCAGACAAGTTCAACCAGGCCCGATCTCAGCCTCTCAGCGACTTTGTATGTTTCCTGAAGTTGCCAAAGACAGTGTGATAGCCTAGATGGCAGAAATAGATAAGAAAACCTCTTACCAGCATCATCTGCAGGGGGAGGGCCAGTTGATGGGGCGGGGGGCGGGACAATCTTGGGTGGAAGTGGAGGTGGAGCTGTAAAGCAAATATAAATGTAACAATGATTACTCCCGTTAACCAGTTAAGCCCCGCGGGCGGGGGCAAAACAGAAGATCACTGTCTAGACATGCTTGGATGAAGTGAATTCAATATACGGTGGGCTGCATACAACGACTTATTCTTCAAATGAGAAGTAACATTCCTTAAAAAGTTGGACCCATAGATGAAAGGCCTTACCACACCTGAAAAACAAATCCCAATAGTATTTCACCATGCAGCACAGCACATTCATTCACCACCATGCCAAATGCAAGGAGAAGCCAGTGAGGTAGGATGGGTGCAGTATGGGAGACGGGCACTGAACTTTCCCGTAATAATTAAAAAACAACTCTAAATCTATTGGTTGTGAAATGGCTGATGAAATGACCCAAGCTAGAGCTGGCATTTTGTATGAGAATGAGAAGCAGCCTGTTATTGATCGGTCAGTGTGCAGCTTTGTTTGTTAGTCGGATGATGATCATGAAGTGAGCTGATGGATCTGAGCAGTCATTCCAGGGAGGAGAAGAAGAAGAGCAGCACATTACGCACGTAATTATAAAACTTACTTCCTGTCGGGAAGGATCTTGTCAAAGAGGATTCAGGCTCTGACAGAGGAATCCCCCACGCATCGGACTCAAACACACCCACTGAGTTCAGGAGGGGACAGAACAGGACGAGTCAGGGGCATTAGAGCCAAAACATTTAAAGGGCGTCTAATGCTGCAAAGCTTATGAGACTTAAGTAAGAGGTGAAACAAGATCAGCATGTCAATAAAATATTTCGAAACAGATTATCAGCCTCGGGCACAAACTGTACATAGGATGTGTTGTAACAGCAGAACATCTAAAATACATTTTCATTTATAACTGAAGCAGAATGAAGGATTGCAATTTCATGGCCATGGTGACTTCAGCACTAAATGTGTCTCAATACATGTTTACAACCTTATTCACTAGAACTGATTCTGAAGGCTAAATTCTAAATGATATACCACGACAGGCCGTGGTATATGCTCATTATATCACAGCTAAGGGGCGTGGTTCGGCCCGACGCAAAGCGGAGGGTCGACAACTGCAGGCAATTTGCTTTTCAGCCCAACGGTATACTGTTTTTCTCAGACGCGGAGGGATACTGACTTGTTGTGAAAAGTAACTTACAATTCTACCCGTGGTATACGCTCAGTATATCACGGCTAAGAACCAATCAGATTGCTTGATTTGACTTGTCCGTTTTATAAAGAACAACATTTGCTACACATCTGTCCTAGTCTAAATGCTTTGATAGATTTTTTTTCATTGACTATACTATCTTAGCCCTGCCATGCCATGAGAGCCTAATTTTTCTTAAGGCTTTTTTTACATTTAGCATTTGCCAGCAATAACAAAATAGCTTAACACCCTTTTTCTGGTCGTATAAAATCCAAATATTGCAAGCTTATACATGAATACATTGGTTTAAGCAACCTGCACCTGAGCCTTACAATTGAGTGCAAACTAATGTTTACCCCAACTAAATAATAATTTATATCACACATGCCTACACTTGGATGTTGCCTGACTTGCAGTTGCATAACAGCTAAGAACTCTCTCAGAGTCTAACTCCAACTGGATTGGCTGATAGAGGGTGACAGTGGAGTCTGCATATTAACAAATGCACCGTGAACATTAACATGACTGGTGCCAATTTCAACTTTGACCCGAATGATGACAGATTGAGTAAATCCACAACTGCTCTGTAAGTCTGAGGGAAGAACAGCAGTGTTAGAGAAATTGGTGTGGGGAGGGGGGGGGGGGTATCTGCTTTGACAGCTGAGCAGGGCTTATCTGGCACTCTTGAGACAATAACTGTGTGTTCAGAAAGATATTTTCATTGTGTCACAGTTTGAGAAAAACAACAACACTGGAAACAACTGTCAACACAGACATATTCTAACAACGGACACAAAGACGTAAACAGAATAAATAGACAAAGACACGGATTGACAAAAAACCATGGAGGAGGGTTACCTTCAGTTTTTGATTCTCCAAAGGCTGTATCCAAGGGAGGCCCAAATAAGGCTGTGGTGTCTTCCGAGAACGGTGTCTGTTGAATGCTGCAACACACACACGACATTAGGAGAGCAATTATTGTAAAGAAGGACATTTTAGGAATGAGCAGCAAGTATAGCTTACGTGATCTGATCATGGTACAGGTAGAAAGCATCTTAACACATCAGTATCCCTAGATATACACCTTTTTAAAATCTGCTGAATTTGATCTTGCTTTCACAAATGTATTATGAATTCATTTGGACAATTCTTAACGTGTGGAACCATAAACTACAGCTATTGCAAAAGCTCACAATGGCATGATAAAATAAATAAATATCTTCAATATTTACTACAATTACAAATCATTTTTAGTAGTTATTACAATTTCATTATAAGGGCTGTGCTGTGACAAAACCATGCAGTGTAGAGTAGAACAATGTTCTGTAGTAATGTAGAGTGATACAGGAGGAATATCTAAACATGCAGCTGGACCATGGCTAACGGCACTCAACAGACAACAGCCTCATGTGGACAGTAAAGTCTGGCATCAAACAAACCACAGAAACACATGTAGAGGAAGACTATGATCACCACCATGAACACAAACAGTTATACTAGAAGAACATGCGCTTATGTCCCCGCAGCACACAAAGCAGCACAGTGTTGTTTGGTAGATAAACACAGTGACAGTTCTGTGGATGCACTGAAGCCTCAAGAGGGCCTCCGACAAAACAAACAATGTTTGTCCCAGACATCTTGTATTTTTGTGGGAAGGCAAAGGTTCGGCGAAATCTAAAACAAAATCGGGGTGTGTTTTTATGCCATTATGTTAGAACTAACGCATAAGATAATCTCTCGGCCTTTAGTTAAGACAAGGGTATTACCTAATGTTGTTCCCTTCTTTCTATGGTAGCATGAATTTATTACATGTAGCACACTGTTGTGTGCTACATGTAATATATTTGTAATAATAATAATAGATTTATTTTGTTAGCACTTTCACAGGTGCTCAAAGACGCTTTACAGATATAGCGAAAAGAAAAGAACAACAAATAAATATAGTTAAAGTTAAAGTCACACAGTAATGAAGACAAATAAATGATGACATGACATAACTACTGTAACCTGCCAGGAATATCCCCACTAACATCACCTCCATTAGCTTGTACACTGCAGATATACTGCACATCTTTACAATAAAGGTTCATCTTTTAACAGCACAGAACAGTAAAATGAAGCCGGGTTAATCTGTGAATTTAGCACACACTTTAACAGTTTTTAATATTCTTAAAATAGGTTGGATTAATAGGTACCTCATAAAACCCCTTTTCACAAATTCTAAGGGAAATAGGTTTCTGTTGTCAGAGAAGAGTGAGGGTCATACCTGGGGGGTTGTGGTGCTGGAGCTGGTGTTGGGGCCACAGTGGGTAGAGTTGGGGACACAGTGGGTAAAGTAGGGATGATGCGCCTCGGTCTGGCAATCTCTTCCCCTGGAACTACAATTAAATATGTTTACCGCATGTGTTCTCGATCACATTCTCTGTAATTCACCATATTTAAATATGTACGTGTCCTAAGGTGCAACAAGATTGATACTTACTGGATGTGTTCCTTTTCAAACCCTGAAACATGAACAAATTACAGTAAAATGTAAAAAATAAAGACACAAAATAGCAACAGTCACGCACAAGTACAACGTTGTAATAATTCCAATAATATAACTGTCTTTAATGTAACTAGAATCAGCATCCTACATAGCCCCATTTAAGCAAAGAACACTGCAAATTCACAGAAAACATAACATGTAGTTGAATGGCAGATCAAAGACACATTTATTTTTGATATAAAAAGCCACATAGGTTTTAAAAGAACATTGATGTAGGTTCTACAGTGTTGAAGGTCAGAGAGGGAACTACAGCCTCAGGTTTATTTAATCTGATGAGACTACCTGACCAGCTACATAGGCCACACACAGGCCACACACAGGCCACACACAGGCCACACACACACACACACACACACACACACACACACACACTCCCAGATTCAATACCGAAATCCTTGTTTGACACACACACACACACAACCACACACACACACACACACCACGACACACACACTCCCCACCACACACACAACACACACACACACACAACACACACACCACAACACACACAACACACACACACACATTAACACACACAGTAACACACACAGTAACACACACATTAACACACACACGAACACACACATTAACACACACATTAACACACACAGTAACACACACAGTAACACACACAGTAACACACACACACACACACACACAGTTGTTCTAAAGCAATAACTTAGACTTTATTAGACAGCAGAGAAATAAGAAGAAATAAAGGGTACGTACAATAAAGGTTATCGTCTTGACACAAAAAACAGGGACACTTGTAGCACTTGGCCGACATGCTTTATAAAGTGATTATTTGAACACTGTATATTCAGTGAAATATGGCACAGCGAGTGCTTACAAATCACATCAGTTACATCATATGGAACAGGAAAGATATCTATTAGCTATAAGAGATGCAGTTTAAATTAAAGAGACCAAGGTATTCCAGTAATAATAACATTGTTACATTAGAAAATGGCAACTGCTGCTTGCAGTCAGCCAACTGCGCTGTAAGCAGTGGTTTGAGGTGTCAGAGCCACAAATAAATATTGGAAAGCTTTCAAAACATGCTTTGAAGTCTTAAAAAGCCACCCCTGGTACTAGAGAAGGCGTGAGCCTGATAAAGTTCAAATGTGAGAAAGTAAAAAAAGGAACGAGTTCTGTTGTTGGAGAGGCAACAGCACCATCATATTGCCTCTCCAGCTGAGATCTTAAACACCCTCGTCTTTAGGTTTGTATGAATTCACCATGTGAGGAACACAAGAGGCCAAGAAAGGCAGATTGCAGATAAGGGCAGAGAGGAGGAGAGACAGCAGCAGATGAGAGAAGAAGACACGACGATGGGGAGTGACTGAAGTAAGACATCAAAGGGTCCAACTGTCAAAAGTGCAAATGTTCTCCCACTACAGAGACCTCGCAAGAAACCATTCAAGATCAAAACAAGCACACTACTGATCTTGAGAATCTAGGAGTATTTCTTTTTTGGTGTAAATATTTATTTATTTACCGTATATACCTTTAAATATTAATGTCAAAACAAATGAGTTGACAGTTTTGACCCACGCCTCAGCCACTGAACCCATCTACGAATGTCCTGTCTTATTTAATCGAATCTAAGAACAGGGTGAGGAGCAGAAGTGTACGGGAAGTATGTGACATTATTTGTATCTAACCCCAGGGAGCGGTGGAAAAGGACACTTACCGGGCTACGTCTCTGTGACCAGCAAAAAGGAAGAGAGAAGAGACACCTGGTCAGAGAGTGACAAATCAGTACAGATCACATCATATGACGAAAAGAGTAGGGGCCTGGTCGCACAGATTGGGGGATAAGATGCAGAATTACAGAAACATCTTATTGCAGCAGAACTGAACTGTTTGGTAATCGGGTTAAGACCTGATCCTTACTTCCCAAAATCTTAAATAACCTCTCTCCTACTTCCACTTTTTTCCCAGGTACTGTTTCACCATGATAATGTTTTTCTCTTCTTTTTTTTTAAATATCCCTTTAAAAAGGATCTTTGTATTTCTTGCAGATGTTCTCAACACCTCCCACTCACCTGTCTTGAAGTTAAGTGCTATTTATCGTATTTGCTTGTTAGGTGTTACTGTAGGGTAACATACAGAACAGATGATGAGCCATGTTGGATTGAGTATTTAAGATGTTCCAACATGAAATAAAGCAAGTTATGAATTGCTTATTTAATACCAAATTGGGAAAAATTATACCTCAGATTAAGTCTTAAGTCTTAACTTAAGACTTAAGATAGGAGGTATCTGTAATCGCCCCAGGACGATAAAATGTCCATAGGATTTGTGAGCATAAATGCAGGTAGTTAAATAAGTCCTGGATAATACGGGTATAAAGAATAGCCAAGTCTGAACTTAAACTCATCTGTGTGTTTATGTTTATGCTGTCATCTTTTTTGTCTGTTTATGGTGAGAAAAAGGGTAAAGGGTAAAGATTCAAGGCCTTCAGATAAATTGTGTTTTTTGCCTGAATTTTCAATGTCATCTGTGAACCTGCTGTTACTGAATATTATCCAAATGCTCTCTAATTTCTATCTTCATCTCTATCCTTGTTCCTTTTTATGATCATGTTTTTGTTTAAACCAATGTCATTTTTGCCGTTTAATCCTTTTAAGTTTCTTTTCATTTTCTCTTCTCTCCCATCTGCCCCTCTTTGGTCTCTTTGATTGAAATCTCTCCATCTGCCTGCGTCACCTCCGTCGCATCCACCCTCTCTCCCCTCCATCTCTTACTCTTGTTCCAGTTGTGCAGTGAGCCATGAGTGATTAAAGTGATGCAACAAAGGGGTGGGACTAGCTGGTGGAAGGGATTCAATTCATTGGGTAAACTGATGCAGGACACTGCGCAACTCTGTTCGTCATAACCAATCATCATCTCCCTGCCGTAAGTAAACAGGAAGAACAACAGGAAGTGTTCAGAGTTAAACACAGTGACCTTTGAGCCCGTCAGGGAATCACATTGGTCTCTGCACACAGATAGTTGTTTACAAATGTGTGATATATTTGAAATCATAAGAGCATATTATTTGTCCTGGTTATTTAAAAAAAAAAATATATATATATGTTGCATCTCTGTTTTTGGTGCTGGAGATATAACACATTTTGTAACTGAGGCAGGTCATATCTGAACAGTGTAGTCTTGGCTGTAAAGTGACCGACCTCACCTAAGGGGAATCTTTGTCGAAACATAGAGCAGGCTACAGCAATGGCACATATTATACAATATGACAAATTCATTATAAAAATAGGATGTTTGTCCTCAAGTTCAAGCCTTTGTTGTTAAAATGCTGGCACAAAATAAAACAGAGGAGAATTATATGTGAAAACACGATATATATTTTTTGTTTCTATCCTCTTAACTCCATCCCTGACCTTTTCCTCGCCTACTCCACTGCTTGTAGTTGTGACATTTGGAATGTAAAAAACTCAAACTTGACTCTAGGACCAATTAAAATCTGATGTAAGACATCTTAGTCAGTGGAAAAAACATTGCTCGAGGCAAATAAAATCAACACGTGCCAATTGAATGCTGAGCAGTCGAACACATGCACATGCATTAATGTGCCTATAAATAACACTACATTGACACACACTCACACCAATAATAAAGCCTTAAGTTATTACTAACTGGTCCTTTGTAGTTCTATTTTTGGCAACACACATGAGCAAAAACTCAACATAGTAGAATCTATCAACAAGAAAAACACACACACAACAGCATGCAAGGCAAAATGCTTACCGGACTCTTCTACAAAGGTTTGCATTATTAGAGGCAGCAAAAGAATGAGAAAAAAAAGAGAAATAAAAAAAAGGGAGGGCATTCAGAATGTAGACAGCCATCAACATCAACTGCAATCATTAATACAGACAGATGAATCTGGCGTAGTAGTATGTACTCATCACACCACCTACACATTCCCCAGTATTCCTCATACCATGATGTGAACAGCTAATCCTGGCCTAGGTTTGCTGTGAAATAAGCTGTTAACCTGCATCATCATGTCCCTCTTTCCAGCCTGTGTGTATATATGCATAATTCATGCAGAATATGCAAAATATTTCCATATGAACTAAGCTCATTCAGTCCAATAAATATAAAACTAAGTTTCTAGGTATGTCCAACACTTCGAATCTGTCTGCTTGTCATTTTTGACATATTGATACATGCAGAAACCCAACGTCAAGAGGGAATCTCAATGATATTCAAATGGGCTGTTTTGAAGTGTAGGTCTTACTTTGAAAATAACAGCCAAGACCTAAATGTTTTAGTCTGGGATAAAAGTTCTCCTGGATCACTTCAAGGAAAAGGAAGTAAAAGGAAACAAGCAGAAAGAAGCAGTTTGCTTTTGGAGACCTGTTTACATTTGGCCTGTCTTCCTCTTTTGATTGGGATATGTTATTGTCAGTCCATAGCCAAGGTAACGCAAAGTAACCAGGGACTCCGAGTGACGAGTGACTTGTGTAATGTATGCATGGGGGTAAAGCTCTGCCCTGGCAAACGTGATGCTAATTTGAAATGGTAGAGGTAAATAAAGGTAATTGTGTAATCACGACTACAGGCCAGTCATTTTAATGTCCTGAGTTTGGTAAATATTCATTAGATTATTTTTAACTGATGTTTCAGATGTTAAAATAAGAAAACTGCAACCTTCAAATATTGAATTATTAGTTCACTTGTTTCAAATTTTAAGGATGAATCCATGATGAGAGTTATTCTTAATGATTTAATGTTCATCGATCGACCAATCACAAACTACTCAATATGGCCAAAACCACTAATGTCTCCAATGTATTACGCACATGAACGCAAACACTACCAGCATGGAACATCCTTCACACCTGATCAGGTTAACGGAGCCAGTGGGTGAGCACACAGAAGCTGGATTAAATTATTGAGTCCAGAAGATCAAATGACCACAAGCCATCTCACTGTACAGCAGACTGACACACAGGTCCATTGTGCCCACTTTCCTACCTGAATTATTCAAGACGGCGGCCAAGCTAACTGTCCTCACTGAAGAAGAAAGGAATTGTGGGTAAGTGAGGGAGGCCAAACCCTGTTTTGGAGTCCTAATGCCGATAACAGGCAATTTGAAGGGGATGTGTGCTTTGATGTGGACTCAATAACTGAGCTGCAACACTAAACGGACTACACAAGACAACACAGCTCAAATATCAGAAGGCCCAAAAATGAGCCGTGTGGAACTAAAACTATCATATAAAACAGCTGAACTGACTCAAAAATACAGGGAGATGGATTGGTAATCAGTCTAAGGCTCAAACCAGACATACATAATGACATATTATGACATAATGCCAACAAAACAATAAATTAAGCAAAACAAAACAGTCGGATAAAGTAGAATACAAATGTACAAAAGGAGGTTTAGCTCAGCAGAAACTAGAAAGACATGCACTGAAAAATCTTAACAAACAAAATATATCTTGATAAAATGCAGTTAAAGGAAGAAAAAGCAAAAGTGATTAGCACATGCACTTAACATCCATCTTAACACAGGCGTGTGTTAATGAAAGCCAGCAGTGAGAGGCAGTGAGGTCAGAGCTACTCACCATAGGAGACGGGGACAGGGCGATGTTGCCTATGGAGGCTTTGAGCTCGTCGACCGAGGGCACCGCGACGACATGATTTGACGGCAGCGGCTTGATCTTGATTTTAAATTTTTTCCTGTGGTCCTCCTCTCCTTCCGACTCATCAGAGGAAAAGAAGTGTGTCTTTTTGGTGGTGGGCGGTGGTGCAGAGTCAAGGAAAAAACAAAGTTCCCTACCTTAAACTGTCCAGGATTTACATGACCCAAATCACAATTTAAATGTATATGTTTTTGTAATTTAACTTTGTATACTTTCACGTTAGTATTCCATATTCCTAATCATTGTCCATACTTGTATTGAATGTTTAAATGATTGTCCTCCTGCAAGAGAAACAAAAACAACCTCTTTGCAATTCTAGACAAGACCTAATACAAATATTGACTTGATTTTGGTGCCCACAGGCCGATAGTGTCTCTAAATCAAATACAATTGTCCACCCACTGAGGAGCTAATTGCAAAGGGATGAATACAGTATTGCCAGCATAACAAACAGAGAATCACCTCTGCTCAATATGAGCTGGCAGGCTGGTTAATCAGTACATTGATCAGAGTGATATTTCCACGTATCAGAGATACGTATGAGGCTTTTCTCAAACACTAATCTATGACTTCCTGTTGGAGTCTGGAACACCAATGACTCATTGTAACAGTGTTACGTGCTGCTCCGTCTAACTGATTTAGACCTTTGTTAATTCAATGTTTTCAAGCTTTGATAAGGACTCAAAACACATCCTCATCACTCTATTTTAAGTTGTGTTTTGACTTTCGAGATCCCTGTGAAACACAAGGAAATTATTTTTTAGATGCGACTCCACTGATTTGGAAACTCCAGCAGAATAGAGAGGCGAGGTCCCTCCCCTTCCGGTGGACCTCCATGGGACCTTATTTCGGAAAAAGTATGTATTGAAGTCAATGGAGAGAGAACCCAAAAAACGATTCCGTTTGAATTGTGCCACGAATTACACATATGATGTTTGTCAATTTAAAAGATAATTTTTCAAGCCAATTTTTTTTAAATGTGTTGTAAAACTGTGAAGTAACACTTTTTTTGTGTGAAACGCTCAATAAACTACATCTCTGGTCTCGCACCACCCACCAAGACGGCCGTCACGTTAGCACATTTCACTTCTTTCTTTCAGAATGAGCAGAAAAGTATTAAAAGAGGTGAAAATCACCACAAGTCTGGGCATGTTTAGAGCTGTACATACACACAAGGGGAGTTAGTCGGTTCCGTAAGAGCCAGCATGCGGGACCGGGATTGTGGGATTTGTAGTCTTTCTAGTTGCGTATTTTTCATAGTCTTATATTTCAACAGTTTTAAGACAAACTGTGACTTTTTTAACAAACATCATATGTGTAATTCATGGCACAATTCAAACGGGATCGAAAGATACGTTTTCTCTCTTCATTGACTTCAATACATAATTTTTCCGAAATAAGGTCCCATAGGTCGGAAGTAGATGGGCGTGACTTCGCCTCTCTATCGGAGAGAATGAGATTTACTACGCAAACTGATGTCAGTAGACTTAGTTCACAAATCCCGTACTAACAATGGAAGCGACCCACTTTTGTGACCCAACATAGCTTGGCTAGAAAAATAGACAAATTGATTGTGTTAAATGACAAATGAAGCAGTGCAGAGGATATCTCCCTCTTCGGACTCCTCCTCAGGTCTGAGGCTGTAGCCTTCGTCGTCCACCTCAGGAGAGTTCTGGAACACAAAGTATAAATCTCTTTAGATGTTTGTTGGATGTTTTGAGTTACACGCTGCAATGAATTTAGTTGTATGCCGATAAAATACTAACAGACAAATAGCAGTTGGTTCAAGGAGTAGCACAAGTTAATTAGGCACGAAACATGACCAAGTGCATATTGATAATGTCATAATCTCTAGCTAAAATCCATGTGAGAATATATCAAACATTCAACCAGATATACAGTGCTACAGTATGTGGAACTACTTTTAAACATGCTTTTTCCACATTTAGTCAATAACACATTTTACAATAATATGGATAAACACTGTAAGGTCAATCAATGCAGATGAAAACAAAGCAGCAGTCGTGGAAACTGAGCTAAAAAGCTGTTAATAATTGTCCTATTACTTACATATCTTTCCCAGTCAATATCTTCGTAGAAGCCATTAAGGGCCCCGTTAGCCTTTTTCTGAGACTGAGAGGAGAGAGAAACTTTGATTAAAACCCCAGCAGACAGAGAAGGTACAGTATATTCTGTGCCATAACTGGATGTGTGTCTTTGCTAGCTACTATTTAAGGAAACTACGGCGTAGCTAATACCGGCCTATAAACCCTGATCCTGTGTACTCTGGCTGTCATGTGAGACTGTTCCACAGTCGTCCTTTCAGAGGCCCTAATTTGTTCCCCGTTTCATCCGCCTGGTCACTATTGACCTAATAATGGCGATGATTAGTGTTATTATCCAACATGATGCAAATTGTCCAACAGTGCTGGATAATATTTCAGGACGTTGGTCTTTTCAAGCTTCACCAAAGGACTCTTTAGTTTGGTGCGTTTTTTGCTAATAATAGTTGCTGATAGTCAAAACAGCAACACTGAGCGACAGATGAGTTTAAGAACGTACACTGATGCCTATAACCAGCCTAATCTCTAAACTCTAGTCTAGACTTAACTAGAAATTAATATACTTAAAAGGACTAGGGACTAGGGTTCAGTACCGATTCAACTTCCTGGGGTTCCTGGCAAGTATAAAGAACACAGAAAATAAAATGAACCTCACAATTAGCAGACTTGATTTCCTCCAGTAATATTCATGTCAAATTAAAGTTTACAAATATATGAATTGGCTGATATGTATTACCGTACATTTGTTCTGTTACTTACGCCGCTGTCTCTGTCTGGGGACCCCCTGTGAGAGTTTAAAGAACCAGAGAGATGAAAGGAGAGCATGAAAGTCACTTCCCATATGAGCTCTTCATTTGAAAATCAAGTGCTTTGCCACAGTAATTAGTCAAGCCAAAATATTTTAAAAAGCGGTATTCAAAGAAAACCTTTTCAAGCCACTTTACCCACACGCTAATTCACTCAAACGTCACAGCACACAAACATTTAGCAGCATGACATATACGGCTTAAAAAACACCCCTGTAAAATGATCTTTGTTACAGAGGTTTTGCAAGCTCACTATGTGCTTTTTCAAACTGTTCAAAGCCTTATTTCAATCCTGCTTTATTTATATAATAATTAAACAAATCTGCCATGATAAGTATAGTAAATATTTCAGCTAAGTGTAAAGAAGCAATTTCCCAAGCAGTGTATATTTAAGGTATGCCTATTATTCTGTAAATCAATAGTACCATATGCCACATAAGATTAATACTGGGAGTTTTACAAATTGATTAATACAATACAAAATCCACTGTAGCTCATAATTGACAGGTATACTCTGAAACTGTGCCTGTTCAATGGAAGCAGCCGTCTAACATTCATTTGACAAGACCTATACTTAATACTAATCCTGTAATGGCTCTTACGTATTTTCATTTCATCATTTCATTCTGCTGTAATGTATATGGACACTACTCAAATTCCGAGGTTTAAGCCAGCTCCACAGAATAGCCCCACTGTGAATACTTTCAACAGTAGAAGGACTAATGTGCTCTGTGTTCATACAGTGAAGGACTTACGTGGAGTCATTGTCCTTCTCTTTCTTCCGTATCCCAAAGGCCTTCCTGGTACGTTTTTTCAATCCTGAGAAAAAACAAGAGAAAAAAGGCGAATTAGAGACACCAAGGGCATGACTAAAAGGTGGTGTATGTAGGTGGGTTAAAGGGTAGGTGGTGTCAGCTGCGCCTCATCTGTCATCCAGGAGATTAAAGAGGACGTTTTTATGTATTATTGAGTGACTGGCTGCATCGCTGTCAAGGCAAACACTGTCTTTCAGAACTAAAAATGGGTTCACGGTAAACCCAGATGGACAGACAGCCTTGCAATTCTCAAGGCACTTTTTTGAAATGAAATATCAGTACTGCCAAAATCAATGTGCTAAGATTTGAACAACACTGCAGGAGCTACTGTATGGTGCACAAATCTGTTGTAGGACACACAGCTGTAAATATACAAAACTTCAATCAATAATGCCAAAAAAAGTGTGAGACGTCATTGACACGTAACTACCCGTGGATCATTTCACTAATGGAGCTGCTCACTGACTGAAAGTAAGTACCGATAATGGCTCTGTTGTTGAGCAACAAGTGAGAGAGGTAGGTTAAGAAACGGTTTAGAAGATTTAAGGAATAAAGTCTTGAATGCAAAGTCTGGACTTTAAAAAAGGCAATTAAATTGTATTCTGTAAGGAAATGGATGGTATGAACATCCAAACCTATTTGTGTGCATTGTAGAAACAACCTTACAAAGAAAAAGAAAAACATTTCTCTTCCCCTTATTTTACACTCCATTTTCTATCAGTGAAAGATTTGCAGATTTTGTGTGTTTGTTCTAGCTTTTGGCATCATCTTTCTTATCGTTTTGCTGCACTGTCATGGATGTACTGAAGTGATAACAGAAGTTTAAAGCAAATTTTTTTTTTAAAATAAGTTAAAATGGACCTTTATTGATCCCCGTAGGAAAATCCCCCAAAATGCCATTGTTTTGAACTGGAGCAATGTATTTTAGTACTATAGTACTATTAAATGCTATATTTTTCAGTGGTCTGATCCCACTCCTTTCATTCACACAGTAAGTGTGGTTATACGTCTATATAGCTTCATGTTTAAAAAAGAAATACTCAATCATGTACTATTTCATTCAAAGGAATTCAATCGCAATACAAATCTAGTTTATTCCAGCTTCACTACAGATCCAATATGATTACTTTTATTAATTGTACTGTACACATATGTCAAACAACAATTTCTTAAATGCTCTGCCTTATTCTTACCCAAGATGAAAGCCCAGTTGTCCCCCTCCATTTTTTTTCTAAGAATTCCTCGACTCTCATTCTTCCTCGCCTGGTTCTGAACTCATCACATCATCTCATGAACAACCTAGCTCCTCCTTACACCACAGGCAGGTTCACACTGAGCCTTAGAGCAGGAACCTGATGCTCACACACACACACACACACACACACACACACACACACACACACACACACACACACACACACACACACACACACACACACACACACACGTTCTTGATCTGTGTCTGGTACTCAAATTCAACGGCAGAGACTTCACTCATAAATAAAAGACAAATGTCATAATTTCTTTCATTTGATGCAATTTTTTTACTACTCAAATCTGTTCACGGTGTTTTCCACCTTGAATCCGACCATTGTGAATAAAATCTCCAACTTTAGAGAAAAATAACCCACATACATAAATATAGAACGACGGCACATTCCCAAAATACAGGCTTGTCCCTTTATACACAAAGATATGCACACACGTCCTCACAGAGCATATGGAGACACATGCACGCACCTCAAGAAAAAGAGCCTGATGAATATTTATGGGAGAAGATCAGGTGTTTGGAAACAGCATCTGCTTTATATCAGCCACCAAAGTTATCCGAGCCATTCAATACATGCCAAATACCTTCAAGTATTTTTGTGAGGAAAAAAAACGTATTTACGGAGAGTGCTGGAACTGTCATACAGTTTGTGGGGGTCTGAGTATGTGTTGTTTGGACATTCTGTTGTATATTACAGAAACAAAGAAATGTGCACACAGACAGACACCTCTTCATAAGTGAGACCAAGTGTTATGCCTCAAACTAATGAAGGACTCATTCCTGTAAGGCCAGACTAAAGATTGTCTTCTTTTATGCTATGGTTTGACGGCTTCCAGGTTTACAGCTGTGTTAATGAAAGAGTATTTTGTTTGAACGGGACGGGGTCCACATGGCAGCTGTACCCTGGCTACAGAAAGTATGCAATACATGGGATTAAAATCTGCATAATTATTTCACTTTTAATTAGTTTTATTGTTTGTTTGTCTTGTGGGTCCATTGAGTATCGTTTAACTTAATGGCACTGAAACACTTGATAGACTGCTTAAAGATATGAAAAAAACAGGCCTAGGTGCAGCAACTGACAAGAGCTCTTTTCCTGCATATCTGTCCTTAAAGTGCCCATTTTCTTCTGTTCTATTTGGCTATGCAGTTTGGCATAACTAAAACACATATGGTAACCTTAATCTTCAGATCATTCAAAGGTCTAATGTTGAAGTCTCTCTGTATACAAACATTTCAAACACAGAAAAAAACCATAGCAGAAATTGAATCCATTCATGAGCTAATTGACCAGCGCAATTAAAAAATTATGCAATAAATGACCATCCCAAATTTAAAGAGCAGTAGGATCTAAATCTGATTGGATGACATTGACGTGAAAGAATACATGAGTCCGTATGGCTGGTGTTAATTAACGTGAAATAACACAGTGTGCCACACACACAGCTTTAATGACTTAATGGCTTCCGTTCAGAGAGATGCTAGCACAAGTGCTAACATAATTAGTGGTCTCTTCTCAAGACACAGTAATGTAATTGTAGGGAAAGCCAAAGGACACAAAGCCAAGCAGGAAAGGACACTGCCAAACAAAAAAAAAAATAGCTGACAACTGAACAGCAACGGTAACTGACCAACACATTCAGACATTTTGCTTCCAAGACACATACAAGTCCAGTTTTTTTTTCTGTGGGACTACATTTCTAGAGCTTTATTTTCAACATTTTGTTTATCTGGTCTCTGAAAATAATGTATAATGTAAGGTTGAGAATAATCTCAAAAGTGTGGAAAGCTAACTTTACAAAGGGTCCCACGAAGTGAAAACAAACTCACAAGAGGAGGAACATCGCTCAGAGCAGCAGTGTGTTATTATCATAACTGTGAGGTCCACTCTTCGACCTACAGGAAGAGGTTAGGACTAACACTGCCTTTAATAAAATATACCATCTTGAAACAACAATTATACCTCTTTCCCATTATTCATTTGGAGTGCATGTGCACAAGAGTTTGTTTCAAGCCTGACATAAGAATCAACTTAGAAAGGACATCAAAGATTTGAAAGCTACCAAAATCGTAAATCTACACCAGTTTTGGTTAAAATTCTGACATGTATGGCTTTTAAATACTAGTTTAGATAAGAGAGCATTTTACGTCCTTTTTTAAACTTTCATTTGTTGCTTTATTGTAATGGAACATGAAAACTGAAAACATTTTCTAAATCTAATTTAGTGCCTGAATAATTTTCAGGTTTCCCATGGATGGAAAAACATGTTAGTGACTACAGTATATTCCTGTGTAGCATGCTCAGGAGGGAGAACAACTTGTTCAAGAGACGGTGCGTCGGGTTGTTGTTGGTATTGAGTCAAGCTGTTGACTAAGTTCCACTGGAAAGCAGGTTAGCAGACAAGGAGACAAGTAATTAGTAGAACAGGACGAAGGCTGGCGGGCAAATATACGAGCAGACAGTACAAAACAAACTGCAAACAAGACAGGCTGTAAAAAACTGTAGTGACAGGGAGACAGCATGCACCGAGACAGGCAGACTGGCATACGGTAGACGAATGCAGAGACAGACAGGCATGTTGCAAACGGGAGCTTTAAAAGGCTTTTGGAGTGACTCATCCATCCTCCTGGCCCTGAGAGGCAGGAAGAGGAGGCAGGTGAAGAGAGAAAGGCTGCTGGCAGATACACTTACAATGACTTCACAATGGCAGAAAAAAATGCTCTAATATCAGGAGGAGACACGTGATGTGCAGATATGAGAAAGCTACCTCCATCTTATTTCATGCAGACCTGAGCAGAGCTGAAAAACTAAAGAGATTTAACACTGAAATGTATTATTGAAAGAAGAAGTGCAGAGGAGACTAATTATTTGCTCTGGATGTGCTAACAAAGAATATATGCTTCTTTTCAGCAGCTATAATGCTGCCATCATGTCTACAAGACAGTAAGTCTCTGTATTTCACTTTGACTCATGGCATAGACACAAACAACGTTTGTAAAAATGTACCACAAACAATGCTGTGCAGGTCACAACATATCTCCTAGCACAGGAAGGAAGAGAGCCATTTACTCAATCTCCCCCACCTACTTTTTCCCTGCTCAGGATTTAAGTCACAACTTCCTATATGCTTCCTGCCTCTAACATAAAGATGGGAAGGGGAATCTTACAGAAGAGGCCACTCGAAGAAGAGCTGTGTTGCAAATATCTTCTGTCTCATTAGCTGACCGCACAAACAGAAAGCTGGGAGGGAATGGCCGTCGCCAGCCATCATCTTCAACCTCACTGTGTGTTTCAGTGTGGCAGAGGGAACACAAAGAGAGGGCGTCAGTTTGCCGTTGTGCTTGTGGATACTAAATTTAGACCAGGACTATACTGTCCAGGTGGCTGCACTGTGAGCTATTAACTGGAACATAACGTATCCAACGTATACACAAACACACAATAGAAATGTGATGGTTCATGTTTTGTTTGGTTGCACAGATTCACTCTTTTTGTGGAAAAGAGATGTTTCATCAAGTGACGTCACAGACTCCTAAGAAAAGTGGGTCAGGGCCAGAAACCATATAGCAGCATGCCGGCAGTACAAGGATGAACAAAAGATGTTGATAATGCCAAGAGGTTGTTGACGCATCCATCTGTGCAATCACTCTGTTTCAATTCTATAGCTAATTTGTCTGTTTATGCTCATTTGATTTAGATAAATATAACAACTATTGCTTAAAGATAGATTAGCCAGTTGAAAAAAAGGTTATTCAGCACCAACATACAACCTTCAATACATATCAGGTCATTTTTAAACAAAAATGTTCACTCTACTCCTTTTCCTTGAATGTGACAACTTTTGTTTGAAAAAAAGAAACATTATAGTCAAATTGTGCTCTGGTAAATGTTCTTATACAGACAAAGCAATTTAAAAAAGTAAACTTATCAATCACAAATAGCAAGCCTGACTGAGAACAGTAAATACTAATCACATACCCAAGTTGTCCAACAATCACAAAATCATTTCACCACGGCATAAGATTAATGCCACATATTATTGGCTGTAAGATGATCTGCAGCACTTTTCTGTCCATCTCTCCTTCTGTCCCCCCCTCTTCATCCTTTCCCCTCACCATCCTCACTCATTTCTCTATAAACAGACAGCTCTCATGGTTCCAACCCCAAGGCTTCAAATAGCCTCTACCAAGGACTGTGTGGTAAATGACCCTGCTGCTGGGCCAACAAAGTGGCTTTTAACATGGATTTTTGCCACAAAGACATTGAGAGAAGATGTATTTTCACTCGTCCCTTCATTTATTGACACAAGATTTCATAGATCAGAGAGGAGGATATGGGAACTATAAAGACAGAAAATTAATGTTTTATTCCTACAAGATAATGTGATTCATTATCAAGTTGATGTGTTAGTTTGCAAGATCGAGTTTAAGATACATGCTGTGAAAGTTAAAGAGTTTCTTTCGAAAGCTATCAAACCACAATTCTAAGTTCCTGCGAACCAGCAGGGATCAGTGCTTTGAGATCTTTTTAAAATATTTTTGACATTTTTAGTGCCGTCTGTTGCACATTCACAGACTCTAAGAGTAATTCTAAACTTGACACTAACAGTGCCACAAGTTAGGCCCCATCCACACAGAGACGAAAACGAACCGAGGTCGATATCAAAAAAGTCTTCCGTCCACACGGAATCGGCACAAGAAACGTGTCCGTCCACACGAGACCGCTCGACCTGCTGGAGACGCTGTAATACATATGCCGGGCCTGTAAGTGGCGCTGTACTTCCACCACAAAATACACCAAAAGCAGCGAATAAGACCCCACGAGCATGGTTGCCTTTCTGGTTATTCTCCGCATTGGGACATATATTTTTTTAATCCTCCAGAGCAGAGAGAGGAGCTGTGGATTATTGTTATTGATTAATGCATCAGTGTTTCTTATGCTGCGTTCACACCGGACGCGATGCGAATATTCGCT